AAGCTTCTATAGTAATTTATATACGATTTTATTAGAGTGGTTAGGACTTGTTGTCACAAATTTCTTTTATCTTCTATAGCTAGGTATCTAACGCATTCTCAAGCAAGATTTCACGTAATATGACAATGCCACAATTATACAAAAATTACAAACAAGAGTAGAAGGTAGAATGTAATCTTTTTAATTTTTTTTTTCTTTTATAACAAATATTTGCTATCTTTCATTTTGATTTTGATAGATGTCATTGATGAAAAGCTTTGACCTTCTTTGCTGAATTTGTAAGATGTTTTGTTGGATTCCATGTATATTTGTTAATATCATATCTTTGCTAATGAATAAGATATTTCAACCTATGTTGGCGTCACATTGAGTCTAAGACTTCTTCAACCTTGAATTCTTGATTATTAGCCACTTCTATAAGAGGCGGTGGTATTTGTCTTCTTTTCAGAATATTCATTGTCTTATATGGCTCTAAAAAAAAAACTCGTGAAATATGAGATAGATTTTCATAGACTCTAGTAGATGTAATTGATAATGAACTGAATTGACTTGTTTACAAATAAGAAATAGTCCAAGTATATGATAATCTAATTTTTCACAAAGACAAATAGTTTTAATATTATAAAAAAGTAATCATATCTTATCACTAATGTGGAATGATATTGTTCCTTGCAATAAGCATCTACGGTTCTTTTTTTTTAATTTTATTTTAAGCCTCTTTTAGTTGTCCCTTCATTATTATATGTAGCACAGATAAATAATTTATCAAATCTTTTGTTGTAGGATTGTCAATTTTTCAAAAGCTAAAAGCATCAAGTTATAGATTATAACCATAATTAGCAAAGAAAGGTATTTGTAGTATAGAAGAATGTACCATATTATTATAAGTAAACTTTACAAAAGAATTGTTCAATCATCTTTTTGGTAGTTGATGGTACACCTCAAATATTACTTCAAAATTTGATTTACATGCTCTATTTTTTCATCGATTTGAAGATGGAAAGCCAAAGATAGTTTTATGTCTACTCTTAGAATCTTCAAAAGTATTCTCCAAAGTCTTGATATAAATTAAATTCTCCTATCTAATATAATATCCTAAGGTAATCAATGATAGCAATAAATATTGTCAAAAAAAAGCTTGGTTATTTTTTTATTTGTGATAGATTTTGTATATAATACAAAATATGCCATCTAGGTGAAATAATCTATTATCACAAATATAGAGACATAAGAACATGAGACTACAAGAGCTATGATAAAATCCATAGAAATAGAGACCATGGTTGTCTTGGAATGGATATGGTTGGAGAAGTCTATAGGGACGATGATGAGGAGTTTTTGACCTTGAATAAATGTCACATGATTGGACAAAGTCTTTTACTACCTTTTATATTTATAGCCATCAAAAATCTATAGATATAAGTTTTAAAGTCATATTGTATCCAAAGTATTTGGCCATTGGAAACTCATAATATGCTTGAAGAATATATAAATATGCTTCTCCTTGTAGAATGTATAGGTGTCTTTTAAAATAGAGTGGATTTTTTTTGAACTTGAACTTGGAAGAATTATAAGACTTAGAAGAAAGATTCTTAATATCATGAACAAGAGGATCAGAGAACATACTTGGTTGAATTTGTTTGACAAGGATTGAATCAATAGTAAATGTTGATTATATTGCTTAAAAATCAAAATACTCTAGCTTCAAGAGAATCATTCTTTATTGATCAAAAGATGCATTTTTTTTGGTACAAGATAAAAATATCTAAAAAAGGTGTCTCACAAATCTTATTATTTTTTGGATTGATAAGTGATCTTAAAATCAAATCTTGACAAAGACATACTCCAACAGTGTCGTATAAAGTGATTTATAATTTGAAAATACATGAAATATCTAACTATAGAGAGTTTAATTTTAATTTATTGACTAAGCTCCAATAAGTGATTTATTCTCTCTTTAACTTTTATACAAAGTCTTGGCTCTCAAAACCTCTTCACTTTATATAAAATATCCAAATTGTAACAAATTCTCTCAAAACATATTTTTTCCGCAAAAGATTTCTTCCTAAATTTTAGAAATTCATCTCTTGATTCAATTATTCAATTTATTTCAAATTCTTATATAATATAACTATTATCTTTAAGCTTTAATATAAAAAAATAAACCATAAAACTACATTCTGTAACTAATTAAAATCTACTGACATTACTTTTACAATGTTATTTAGTAAATTATATATCAAACATATAAATATAATATTTTCACATGGTGGCCAAACCACAATATGACAACAAGCTTAGTGATGATTCAAAATACGCGTTGACATAAACTATTCAAGATTCTTATGGTTGACATAAATAGTGATAAGATTAGAAGTGTCTTCTAGATTATAGCGCTATTCTTGAAACAAATCCACAATTGTAAGAAGTTCTTTGTTGTGAATCTTGTAGTTGATCTTGGTTGATAAAATTTTTCTTCAATGAGAAGCTATTAGATGAAGTTTATTATCTATTCTCATTTGTAATAATACAACATCCAAAAAAAAGTCCATTACATTTGTTTTCATAAAAAATAACTTAAAAAAATTAACGCAATATAAGATTGATGCTGAAATAAAGGTTGTCTTTAAAGCTTCAAATGTTACTTTTGCTTCTTGATTCCATTTAAGTTTGTCTTTACAAGTCAAACGTGTAAGTAGAGCTCCAACTTAAGAGAAGTTATTGATGAAGATCTAGTAGTAGTTTACAAATCTTAAAAAAAATAGATATTTCTTACTGTGTTTGAGATCTTTTAATTCATAATAGTTTGAACTTTCTTATGATCTATGATAAGTTCATCATTTGAAATAATATATTCTAAGAAGTCAACTTGAGTAGTATGGAATACATACTTTTCTATCTTGGCATAAAGACTTGCATCTTTTAATTTTTGTAATACACAATGAATATGAAATTTATGTTCTTGTATGTTTTTAGAATAGATTAAGATGCCATCTAGGTAACAAACAACAAAGTCATCTGAAAAATTTCAAAAAACATCATTTATTAGATGTTGGAAAGCTGCTGGTATATTTATAAGTCCAAAGTGTACAACATTGTATTCAAAATATCCATATCTTGTTCAAAACATAGACTTCTATTGATCTCTTTCTTTGATCTATAGCAGATTGTATGTTCTTTGTAGATCTATTTTCGTATAGATCTTAGTTTAATTCAACTAATCAAAAAGTTTAGATATCAAATGTATATGGTATCTATTCTTGATAGTGATTTTTTTGAGTCTTTGATAATTGACACACATCTACAATAAACCATCATTTTTCTTAATAAATAAAATTAGAGCTCTTGTTAGAAATTTGGAATGACATATGCAGTTTTTGGTAAGTATTTTTTCCATTAAACTCCTTGAATCCAGCTAATTTATTTTGTGATAAACTATAAATTGGTCCAAATGGCATTTGAGCTCTTTCTTGAAGGTCAATTGAGTAGTCATAGGGATAATGTCATGATAGAGTATTTTCATTCTTTTTCTCAAATATATCTTAAAAAACTTAATATAGGCTTAGAATACCACTTGAAGTCTTTTTATTATTAGAAATAGGTACAACATAAATGATACAAGGTAATCTTTTTTTTATAGCATGCAAGAAAGTTCTTACATCTACAAATACATGTTTAATTGTACTAGACTTATGACTTTTTATTTGATCATCTATATTCTTAATTATACTTTCAAAAAAATCAAGTCCAAAAGAAATCCAATCTATTTTTGGGTTATATTTTTATAGCCATGATAAACCTAAAATGATTGAATTAGAGGGAGATCTAATGATATTAAATATTACAAAACTACTATAACCATTAATTGTTACTTTTATAGGAAGGATTTTATGAATAAGATTTTTTGAAGATAATGGACCACCATCTATGATTTCTACATAAACAAGTTTAGTTTTCTTCACTAAAGATATGCTATGTTTTTTAGCAAATTCTTCATCTAAGAAATATGCTAAGGTTTTTGAATCTAACAAGGTAGAGGCTTTATAATGTTTAGGTTTTAAAATAATATTTATTATAAAACAAGAAGAAGATTCTGAGGAGATAATAGGACCCTCACTAGGTGTTGTACAAAGTTCCAACCACAATAGTAAATTGAGTTGATGCATTGTAAACATTAATTCTCTCAATTCCTAATGCATTTATATGATTGCATTCTTGATTTTGAAAAGCTCTATTATAATAATACTGAAAGGAGGAGAGATGTCTAAAATCACTTAAGACAAATAGAAGAGAAGACTTGAAAACAAAGAAAAAAATATTAGAGATAACATTAATTTAGAAGTGGATAATATGCAACTTCTAATATGCTTAAGTCTTATTAAGATAAAGACATAATCCACTATTAATTAAGAAAAGACAAAGCTTTGATATTATAAGTATACTCTTATCAATCTATCAAGAACAAGAACTCAACAGAAGTAAAAAAAACAAATGAGACTCTTTCAAAGAAATATGACAAAATAGAAATAGAGAAGTATGTATATTAAAAAAGAAACTGGAATGGCTATTGCCAAAAGATAAGAAAACTAGAGACTCTTGAAATTAGACTAGAAACAAGAAAGGAGTTGACAAGTGTGAAGAAGACAAGAACAAAACCCTACTATTCAAAATAAGCAAATAAATTTCATTCACAAATATTGGACAAAAACATTATATAAAAGCAAAACAAACATGGTTTTTATTTTATTTGAATGCAAGGCAAATCATAACATCACGACTCTCTGTAACATAGAAAATTAATGTAATAAAAAAAAAAAAAAAAAAAATCCGCATACTCGAAGTGAAGTTCCAAAACAAATCTAAAGTTTTAGGACGCTTCATCCATCGTTCGATGAAAGGTCCTCGCCTTTTTCTGGTCATCCAAAACGAGCCCCATTCACACAAGCGCTGGGGTGGAAACCAAGGAGTTAGGGCGTTAGGGCAAGGCGTCTGTCTGTCTGTCTGTCTGTGTTCACGGCGGTGGGGAGTCAGAGGAGGCATTGCGTGGTTGCAGCACCTCCGTTGCGTGATGTATCGTTAGCTGCAGCGATTGACTGGAACCCATCGGTCAAATAAGCCCCACCATCCTCCAAATCAATCGCCGCATTGCGGCATCCCGAATCCAGGAACCACAGCTCCAGCAAAGTCTTCCGTCGACGACTGACGCTGCTTTTGGGAAGCCACCTAGAAACGTTCGTTTTGTACCTGACTCGGAATCAAAAAAGCACAGTTGTCCTGCACAGCTCTCGGCGCGCGCTTTCATTTCCCGACCCTCATCAATCGCAATAATCTAGGCTGCACTCCCCTGAACAGCTCCAGTCTAGTGAATGTTTCACTCCGCCATCCATCAAGAACCCTCAAGTTGCTATCAACCCCACAGACAGCTACTACGGAAATGTAACGTCTGCCTGTGTGCTTGTGGTTGTTTTTGATTGCGAGAGATTTTGAATTATTGAAGCGTGTTTTTATTTTTACTTATTTTTCTATATAGAATCGCAGCTGCAATCCCTCGTTTCTGTTGATTTGAATGAGCAGTCGGATGTTGATTGGGGAAACCGAGCAGCTAGATCTGAGACGTGGGGTGGAGGAGTTTCGACGACTCGCTGAGCGGAGGTTGTTTAGAACGCGTGAGGATGACGGTTTGTTTTGTTTCGTTCTGTTTCGTGTTTTCTGGAAGGAGAATTTGTAGATTTTGGGGTGTTGCATACAGTGGGAATTAGGGCTTCGAAGGTTGCTGAATTGGGTGGGTACTGTGTGTAGGAAGGAGGATGCTGTTGTTGGCGGGAAGTTAGTTGAATTCACAGCTTGTAAGATATGGAAATGGGGTATGGGGTGTAATGAGAATTGGTGCAACTGTTGAAGCGATGGGTCGGGCGTTGTGATTTCAGTTGAAAGGGGCCGATGATTTGGGGGAGAAGTACTGTGTGATGGCAAAGGCGTGTGAGTCGGCTTATCGGGTGCGATGTTCGTTCAAGCAGGCCACTGTGGTCATTTGTGCGTGCAATTTGATGATGGTGGTGTGTATCTCCCAGTGTCTAATCTTGTCCTACTATGTGCCTGCCACGAATTTGACTCTCTCGTACAGTCGCCAAATTGATGGTACGGATTCAACTCCTCGCGCGCCAGCACTCAATTGCAGCTTTTTGGTGCATTTTTCTGGTCTCACTATAAGAGTTCTGTTGGTAATTGTGGTAATTCTTGCTGCTCCGGTCCACACATTAGTTTACATTGAAGCAGAATCAATTTGGACTATATTGTCCAGTTGAGATGGTTGGAAGGGATTTGAGATAGTGTTGACAGTTTTCTTGACTAGGAAACTCTGTGTTGAAAAAGCTTGAGGTAGTTGAAGAGGATCAATTGCTCGTAATACGGGGGAACTGATACTTAGGGCAAGTCCACTCGTGTTGAATGCATCAAGTAGTATCGAAGTTTGAAGGGTTCAAGGTTGCAGGTACTTTTCTTCCAACCAAACTGGATGCGCAGGAGCAGCTAAATATAGTTCGAGATGCAAACCAGGCACGACTTGCAGCTAAGCCTGTTAAACTTATCGAAAGAGTAAGCCTTTAAAACCTTCATTTTTTAAATAATTATTCGTGCTTTTAGAATATTTTCATTCCAACCCCTGGGGCACTTCATACTAATTTGCGTGATATATATCTTCCCTGCTTGCTCATCAGTGAATGTGCAGTATTTCCGAAGTCTTGTTTAAATTTTACACAAGAGTTCGATTGATATTGAGCACTTTTCTTAGTTTCTTAGAAAGTGTTCGTGGTAGTAATCATCAATTAACATGATTTAAAAAAAAATCTTTTTTAGGTGAAGGAAATACAACAAGAGGCTTTGTTACAGGTGGTTGCTGCCAGTGACAAAGCAACACAAAATCAACAAACGGAGATTTCCAAACGCATTACCGGACTTAGGTTTCAAGGTGTACTCCGTGAATAACCTCCTTACGCTAGGTCTTGAGTATGTTGCCTTCGGGGTGCCTGAGTGCCTCGAATCAACCCCTCTCCTTGTCATTCCTAGCCGACTACCTGATATTCTTTCTGCAGGAAATAGGGCTTCCTGATAAACTCGGATCGTCTTAGTTCAAGTTCACTGAACATTACAGAGTCGATTCTGTTGAGAACAACTGGCTGATGTCAAGTTTTGGCGGAATGTTTGCGAGTTTAAGTGTTTGTCCATTGAAGAGTCATGGTTTTGGGATGTTCGACGGTAAAACTTACCTGTTGGTGCTTATGTGTTGCGCAGGATTAGACAAATGGAGGAGGGAAAAGCTTAAACACGCACAGAGCCGAGAAGCAGCTCTACTGAAGACTGAAATGACCTCTCAAGAAAAAGGTAGCCTTGAAAAGTTATCATGTTGTGACCTGTTTAGAATCATAATTCATGTTCACTGATATCAAATGCCGCATAAATAGATATAGATTGTTTCGGCAGCCCTTGTATCGCATGTGTCATTGTCAGATTGAGACTGGCTTTCATCGTAACGGGGCTATTCCTAGAATCGAAATGCTTGAAATTATGTATGAGTGAATTTGTAGTTTGTTATACTAGCAGGCCCGTATGTTTTGGTTTTAGAGGGTGGGCTTCTGTGCTGCAGTGTTTTCAGTAGCTACTTTTCATTAGTTACAGAGTGATAGGGTTGCAAGCCATTTTGCAACTTTGCGATTTTTGACTTAGGGTCCCCGTGATAGAATTATCAATCCTGTATTGGATCTGTGTGCAGACAAGGTACCTGTGGAGGAAGATGTGATGCCCGATGAGGTGGTCAACGTTCTTGACCAAAGTGAAGGGAGTGGGAAAGTGCAGGATGGAGCGGAGATTGGTAAGCAGTACTTAGATGAAACGCTGGTGTGTGTCGGAATTTGAGCTAGACTGTTGAGATCACCGTGGTTTTTAGACTCTGATAATTGCGTTCACGTTCTCAGAAGATGTTAAGGGGAATTGCATAATTCCCACATGACCTTATCCCAGTTGTGCCTTAACTCCTGAGAATATGATACCCGTGATGAAGAGTGTTTAATATCTGTTGTTAATTTTCTTTGTGATGTCGGATATGATTTTCTCAATGCGACATAGATTGTTTCACATGTTTGTGATGTTTCTGTTGTGGTTTGCTCATTATCTGTTTATTGGAGGTGCAGAAGATGGAATTATTCCTGGGAGACCTGTACCTGAGATATGCCATGCAGAGGCACATACGGACTATGATGGTGTTGCAGTGCGTTGGGGTCTGACTCATCATGTGGAAAGTGCAGCAGATTGCTGTGAAGCATGCCTGAAGCAGGCTCGGACAGCCAAAAGTGGTGAAAAAAGGTGTAATGTATGGGTCTTCTGCCCAGCTGAAGGAGGCTGCTTCTCCCCTGATGTTAATGAACACAAGCACCAGGAGTGCTGGTTAAAGCAGGTAACCTATGTATTTTCCCGTTTTCTTGAAAACCGGTTCATTGAGTCTATCCCTGTGTCATTATCTCTTGTGTTAGAATGATTCTAACTGCTCCTGTTGTCCTTTTCTGTATGCAGGCAGACAAGCCGAAATTAAACTTTAAAGGGCATTATGATGAAGTATACAGGCGAGAACATCCCACTGCGCCTGTGATTGTGCCCTGGGTTTCTGGAATAATTTAGATGTAGTGTTTTGATTTTAGGGTCCAACTTGAACTGTAACCAGGGAAAACGTTATAAAATTTTCGAGAATAGAGATTTTGGTCGCATGTTTTGCACTAGGCGACCCCTGTAATTTGAGTTGGTTTGAGTGCTTACTTGTATTCGAGCCTTGCCAGAAAGGTTGTGAAGAACTGGGAACGTTGTAAGTCTCATCTCCAACGGCTGGTACTACATCCCAATTTTGTATTGATATTGGAGGTCATGGAGGCAACCATCTTTTCGCTTTTAGCTTGTAATTTTTGTCCATGGTAACCATCCAGCTCGTAGCTTAAACCTGCATTGTGCGTAAATTGTGGGAGCTCGCCCTCAGATCCGAAGTAAGTGCTTTTAGGGTCAATTGAACAGCGAATGGGTGTCAAATCTATTTGGTGAGGGCTCACTGTTACAATTTTTGCCCGCTTGTCTTGAACTCTCATGCTTGTGCGACTTGAATAGCATGTACTGCTCCAGTTGATCTCTCTTTCCGAACGAGTGCGGTAGCCATACCAAACCTTCACCGTCCTGAAGTGGCTTTCCACAACTGCAGGCGTTTTTCATGGTTCCGTTATGTGCGTCCAAAGGTCTCGCCACGCCAAGCATCAGGATGGTGAGAATGGCTATGCAATAGCGTGGAAGAGGTGCAGGTTTATGCTGCCATAGCTGTATTTACGTAACCAATCTGTACACAGAGGATGCAGTATCCAACAATTGTAAACTACAACGGCTACTTGGCATTTGCAACTGTGACTAATTTGATGTGACGAGAGTCTCGGCACCGGAGCTTGTGGCTTGGAACCTGCTTCAGTAGCTCTTCTCAATGATGGTGGGTCCTTTCATTGCGGCGTTTGCTGGTGCGATTTGTTGTCCTAACAAGAGTAAAACATGCTTCAAAGGACCCCTTCGCATTGAAGTAAATAAGGAGTAAATAGTGGTCTATTGAATTAAATAAATAATAGTACAAATAAATTGAGTACAACATGTGTAATATGTAACATTCTCTCTCTCTATATGAACACGATGGTATATTCTCATGTAAACAATATGTTTAAATAGACGATATAACATAAACGATAACACTGTATATGATAACGTATAATAATTACTGCATTTACGAATTAATAATAATTATATATTAATACATATTATTAAAATCATACATATATTATGTAATTATATAATATAGTATATTACAATAGTAATAAATATTATATTATATTATATTATTTAACTATATTAAGTTAATAATGTGTATAATATGTATATTCATAATATTCATATAATATATAGTATATTTTCATAATAATATTGTGATAATATTTTATAGTGTATTATATGATATAGGATTATAATATTAATATTAATATTATATTATATATTAATATAAGATCTGTATTCTGAACCAGAGCTCATTGATTCGAAATATTGAGAGAAGTTCACCGCTGCCAGGACGACGGGTGTGTAGGGATAATCACCACTACTGCAACACATTCCCTCATCCAACACGACCTGCTCGTGTGCGTCTGTATCTACTGTATCCTAGCATGCTTAATGAGAACTTTGAAAGTGAAGCAAGTTCAACATCTTAACCTCAAGATTGATCATTACTTTTTGTGCTCACCTTATATGCTTGGTATGCATGGTGATTGTCATTTAAGCTCACTGCATAATTATTATATGCTTTTTCCTAGGAACACACTCTGAAAAGGTGCCTTTGTTTGATCAAGTTCCAACTCTTGAAAGCACTCAAGTTCAACAATGTATTTGAAATATAATTATTCAAAATGGTAAATACATGAAAAAATATTTGATCATCTAAATACATGAGAAAGTTGTAGTTTTACTTGATACATGTGTTGAAACAAGAATATAAAATATAAAAACAAAATGTGGTATTAAGTTGCATTTTGTGAATTGAAAGCGCGGAATAAAGCTATTGCTTATATTGCCTTTTGTGATTGGATTGCATTCATTTGTATAAGTCTGCCACTTGGTGACCACAAATTTCTTTACTCTTTGCTATTACCAAATTTCTTTACTCTTTGCTATTTATGATTATTAATTTAATCTACTAACAATGCAATACCTCTATGGTAAGTAATTGTTCTACTAGTGAGTGGTCCGAAGCCTCGATAATTTTTATGTTTAATTATATGTTTGAATAAGTGGTTTAATTGTTGTATTAAATATGATGTGTTCCAATAATCTCTCTAATTTATAACTTTCTCTCCCTATATCAAAGACATAAATCTCAAAGAATTAAAAGATCAATATAGTCTTGTGACACTCAAAAAGGCTAAAGAAACATTCAAAGATATATATTATTAAACTAGAATGGCTTTTATTAATGACAAGAAGACTAAAAAGTTTTGAATCAAGATTAAAGACTAGAAAGGTATTAATAAGAGTGAAAAAGGCTTCACTCTTACATCCATATATACTATCTAATTAGGAGCTACATTGTTGTGTAGTAACACAACCATTAAATGAAAGAAGAAAAAAAAAAATTATTATAGAAGAGCCTAATTAAAAAATGTAGTAGAAAAATATAGATAAAAGATAAGCAAGTAGTAAAATCTTTTAGTATTAAAACTATCTTTTGTGAAAATGGATTCTACTTACTTTGTATGGCCATAAATAAAACAAAATAAGATAAATGAATTATATTGGCATATGTAGGAGGAAATTAAGAGTTGATTTTAATAAAATTTATTTCAAGAAAACAAGAATTGATATGCAAAGAAGAAAAGTTGCCAATTAAGGTCAAAATTAGATCTTGAGGCACAAAACTAATCACCTATATTATTTTTAGGATTCTATTATAAATTAAAAAGTAGAATTTGAAAGAAAATTTGAAGAAAGATTTTTAAATATTTGTTTTATATTATTTTAATTAATATTGAGATTTTGAGGAATTTTCAAAGTTAATGATATATTCAATGATTTTAGATTTTGAGAAATAAAATAAGTTTATAAATTTCAAGATTTTATGAATTTTATAGCATGTTTATAAGTAAAATTTTGGCAGTATGTTGTTGTACTCGTTATAAATGTTAGTAAAAAATATGAAGTCAATTAAATAGTTATATTGAAGCAAATGAAGATTTTTGTTGGTTATGGTCCTAGAAATTTGAAATTTAGGATCAGTGAGTGATTCTAAGATGTAGCAATATTTGCTAATTAGATTGCAACAAAATTTAGTAAAATCAATTAAGACTTGAATACTATACACAACTCAAATTTTGGAATAATTAAATAATTCAAATAGAAAAAATTAATGTTGAAAGATCAACATTCTAGTCGAAGAAGGAAGGCAACCAATGACTAAGAGGTTTTGAGAGCTTTTTTTGCAATTGATTAGTCCAATTCTTTTCAAATTTTATATGCTTATTAATTGCTTATTGATTGAAGTCTTGGTGAAATTTTAGTCAAGATATACGATTTAATTAATATTTATTGAGATTTCAAATAGTTATAATAATTGATTGAAATTTATTCACGATTTTTTTAGAATTTTTAGAATTTAGGATTTCATTAGGATTTAATTTAGAGTTAGGATTTAAGATTTTCTTAGAATGTGATTAAAAGTTTTCTAAAGTTTGATTATAATTTATTTAAGATTTGATAAGATTTCATTAGGATTTAGGATTTTATTGAAATTTGGTTTAGAATTAGAATTTAGAATTTGACTAGAATTTAATGTAGAATTAGGATTTAGAATTTTCTTAGAATTTGATTAAGATTTGATTAATATTTAATTAATATTTGATCAGGATTTATTTAAGATTTAGCATTTATTAAGATTTGATTGAGATTGATTTAGGATTTCATTAGGGTTTGTTGAGAGTTACATTAGGATTTGATTAAAATTCTATTAAGATTTTTAGTTTTGATATCTTTTTAAGATTTTTTTATTATATATTTTATTAAGATTAATTTATGATTTCTTAATATTTTTTTATAAGTTCTTAAGACTTTTATTTAAGATTCTATTAAAGTTATAAAGGTTATTTTGTTGTAAGTTTGATTTTTTCGTCTACAACCAAGTATTTAGTATATTTTGAAGCAAAATCCATGTAATACAACAATGTGTCAATGTTCTATAGGACCTCCAATACATGTCTAAATTTTAAAATACATATCTTAACATATGATACATATGTGTACTACATAGTTAGTTTGTTCCATAAGCTACCAATTCATGCACTATGTGGCTAATTTATTGACCAAGTTTCTAATCTACCAATCAACTATAAGCATATATAAAGTAAAAATTGTATCAATGAAGCTTTTAGGAAGCTTATCCATAATATATTATCTAATTAATTTATTTTTATCTACTTCTATCTAATCATATAGATAATTATTGGAATAAATATGTATGTTCAAAATCTTACTCTCTTTTTAGACATGCGTTCTATAAAAAGTAGTAATTACATGTTGATAAAGTCAAAAATATGATAAATTATATTTGCCACATATTTTAATCTTTATTTCTTTTGAAGGTAGTTGATGGATTCTCTTAGCCATTGATAATATTCCATTTTAGGATGAGAAGATCCTTCAATTATTTAATTATTATTGATGCCTTTGTAGCTTCTTTCAATCAATACATTTGTAAGACCATCATGAGTTGTTTCTACTTCCAATAAAATCACCAAATATCAAAAATCTCTTCCAAGGTTGTGATACCAAATGCAATGAATCTTGCAATCTATTTGAAGAAAAACATGCCATTTTTGAAAATCTTTATTTTGATTATGTCATTTTGAAGGCTAGATCTTGTTTCTTTTATAGAAAAGATTTATTATTCTTTGTCTTGATTTTGATGGATTTTGTCAATAAAAAGCATCAACATTCTTTGCTATATTTATAAGTTTTTTTTTAGATTCTATGTGAATTCACTAATATCATATCTATGCTAATGAATAAGATATTTTGACCTATTTTAGTACTGCCTTCAATTTAAGACTTCTTCCACCTTGAACTCTTTATTATTATCCATTTCTATAGGAAGAAGTGGCATTTGTCTTCTTTTTAAGATATTCATTGTCTTATATGTTCAAAAGGAGATATATGAAATATTATATGGATCTTTATAAATTGTGGTAGTGGTAATTAATAAGCAATAAGATTGATTTATTTACAAATAGAAAATGGTCTAAGCCTACAATAATCTAAGTTCTCATAAGGGTGACTAGTTTTGATATTTTGACAAAGTAACCATACTTTATTATTAATGTAGAATTGAGATTTCTCT